GGAAAAGGTCCAATGCACGACATACGGATGTTTCCAGCTTTGATTTGGTGCTGATTTCCTGTGGCTTCAGTCCACCTGTCGCCTGCAGTCGCTTCATCTGAGAGAGTTTTCCACCACCTGCACACCGATCTGAACACAGCCACTGCAGGGTTAAGCTCTCTTCTTCTGCTTTTACTCGCAGCGCGGGTTTTATTAGTCACTGAGCACTGGGTAGTGTATTTGTGTGTGTGTTTATGTTTGTGTACAGCTGTGCACAAGTGGCAGCCAATGCTTTCAAAAAATGGGGAAGCGCAGATGTCACTTATGAATGCCTTTGTGCACTTCAATTTCTATCTATCTATCTATCTATCTATCTATCTATCTATCTATCTATCTATCTATCTATCTATCCATCCATCCATCCATCCATCCATCCATCCACAGTATCTATCTATCTATCTATCTATCTATCTATCTATCTATCTATCTATCTATCTATCTATCTATCTATCTATCTATCTATCTATCTATCTATCTATCTATCTATCTATCTATCTATCTATCTATCCATCCATCCATCCATCCATCCATCCATCCATCCATCCATCCATCCATCCATCCATCCATCCATCCATCCACAAAACCAACTATCTATCTATCTATCTATCTATCTATCTATCTATCTATCTATCTATCTATCTATCTATCTATCTATCTATCTATCTATCTATCTATCTATCTATCTATCTATCTATCCATCTATCCACAGTATCTATCTATCTATCTATCTATCTATCTATCTATCTATCTATCTATCTATCCATCCATCCATCCATCCATCCATCCATCCATCCATCCATCCATCCATCTATCCATCCATCCATCCATCCACAGTATCTATCTATCTATCTATCTATCTATCTATCTATCTATCTATCTATCTATCTATCTATCTATCTATCTATCTATCTATCTATCTATCTATCTATCCATCCATCCATCCATCCATCCATCCATCCATCCATCCATCCATCCATCCACAGTATCTATCTATCTATCTATCTATCTATCTATCTATCTATCTATCTATCTATCTATCTATCTATCTATCTGTCTGTCTGTCTGTCTGTCTGTCTGTCTGTCTGTCTGTCTGTCTGTCTGTCTGTCTGTCTGTCTGTCTGTCTGTCTGTCTGTCTGTCTGTCTGTCAACAGTTGTAATTACAGCAAACTCCATAATTCCACTTCAGATTTTCACATTTCCTAGCATCTTTTGTAAATCTGAACCTTCTTCAGCTACATGAAGACATCCAAAATTCATATTTTATCAAAGAATATCATTTTCCCCCCATTTGCACTTCTAAACCAACAGCAGATTTGTGCATGTTTTCAGGAGAAAGAATTAAGGACAATTTACCTTGGTCGTCAAATTTAAAAATTCTGTAATAATTGACACAAACTTCACTTGTTCAAAACCAGTATGAGCTGAACACAAAAGAAGATATTTTGAAAAATGTTGTTAGATGGCACCCATTGAAAGTCCCTACGTTGGAAGTCGATGGGTCATTCCTCAAAATCTCTTATTTTGTGTTTAACAGATAAAAGAAAACTCATATTTGAGTGATCCAATTAAGGGTAAATGATAAGGTTATTTTCATTTTTGATGGATGTGTCCCTTTAAGTCCATTGATTATGCTGAAGTAAAACAAAACATTTTATGTTGTGAAACAATTTTAATGTTTCAATTGATTTTTATGAAAATAAAATGTTAAAATTTACACAACTAATATCTTTGATCATACAGTATATTATGAATATTTAAAGTAACAAGACATGTTTTTCAGTTTATTATTTGTGACAACAGTCCAGAAAACCAGTCACATGTACATTTTTTAAGTTTATTTATACATCAACAGAAAATGTATTTATTTAGCTGCACATTAATAATCAAAAAATAGTTTTGGTGTATTTGCAGTAGGAAATGTACTAAATATCCTTATGAAACATGATATTTGCATAATATTTTGATGATTTTTTGTATGAAAGAGAAATCGACAATTATGACCAATACAATGTATTACCAAAACCATAACTGTACTACAGAAGACTGGTTTTGTGGTCCATTTTTATTTGTTTTCTTGGTGATGTGTTGGATGTGTTATATAAAACAGATAATTGATTTATGTTAAGTAATAAAATAACCAGTAGACTTGAGTCCTGAATAAGCAGTTTGTTTGAGGTCATTTAAAGTAAAAATATCAAAAACCTTTCTAAAACTATCTAAAAAAAAAGAAGAAAAAAAAACAGAAAAAGATAATCATTTGACAGCCACTGACATCATCAAAAGGCACCCTGAGGGCCATGCGGTGCTGCAGAAAGTTAGTTTATTGCTCTTGAATATTTGATCATTTCACCTTTCCCCAGCGTGGTCACAAGTTACACAACCACACCATTCAGTGAAATGGCAAAAACAGTTCTATTGTAAGATATTTCAAAAAAAGAAGAATAAGCTCAAAGTCATATAAAGGTGGTGGGCTGACATCTTGAATAAAATTGAATATAACAGAATATAAAACTAACATAAGTAAAAGTTTAGTCTTTCTGTGAAATGTAAATATAAACACAACTGATCAAAAGTCTTAAAGCAGTCACAGTCTTAAAGCTGTAATGCATCTGTTCATTCAAGTATCTCATTGAGATGGCCTAATTTCTTTTCATGCTTCTCACACACACACACACACACACACACACACACACACACACACACACACACACACACACACACACACACACACACACAAACACACACACACACACACACACACACACACACACACACACACACACACACACACACACACACACACACACACACACACACACACACACACACACACACACACACACACACACACACACACAAATACTTAACCTGTTCATTTAAAAGCCTCTTTTTTTAGCACCACCAATTCAAAACACATTTTGTCACATTTTGTCACATTTTCAGACTTGCAAAATTTGCGAATTTGCTTGTGAATGGCAAAGATAAACATTTACCATACTGTGTACTCTGTGCATTTTAAGTGAATGTCCATTTGTCAAAAACACAAACAAACAACCCAGACACATTGAAAATATGTTCCCAGGACTACATTTCTGAGAACCGACAAAAATTTCTTGCAGTTTTTGTTTTCAAAAATCCACTAGAGGGCGACTTGGACATTTTTGAAGATCTTAAATATGTTACTGGGGCCTGTTTTCTTGTATGTGCCATTTCTTGTATATACAGTTGAATTAATAGCCCCCCTTTTTATGTTTTTCCCCGATTTCTGTTTAACGGAAAAAATATATATTTTTAACACATTTCTAAACATAATAGTTTTAGTAACTCATTACTAATAACTGATTTATTTTAACATGTACTACACTAAAGGTGCAGTAGGTGATTGTCTTCAGAAACATGTTTTGTTGTTCTGGTTTAAAGTCTCTTCACATTCAAATATTACTGATTAAAGTAAATGATCTAAATGCATTTATACGTATTTTTATATTCCGGGTAAGGCATAAGACATCTCCCATAATTCTGATACATAGCTCAAACTGTCTGTCACCTGTCTGTACGCAGCTCTGCCGTTTGTGCATTCACATGCTGTGCATTCACGAGAGAGAGAGAGGGAGAGAAGAGAGAGAGAGAGAGAGAGAGAGAGAGAAAAAGAGAGAGAGAGAGGAAAAAACATGCTGAATCGAAACTTTTTAAACTCCTGAATTAATATTGGAGTTACTTTTGCATGATGGAGGAAGGACGACACCATGGCTGAAGTATTTCTCTTAGAAAGGAAATGTTATGTTTTAAAACTTTAAAACTTTTGTCATGCAGAGCTGATGTAGATTGGGTTGTTATGAATGGGTTATATGCACAGAAGTGTTGTTCAGCCACTGAAATCTTCCGGCGAATGGTTGATGAGACTGTTTTCAGTTTCATAAGATCTTTTTACAGCATCGATAATGTCGATTTTTATTTAGCTCAACAACAAAACATCAGAAAATAGCATTATTCAGCCTAGCTTGCTTTACTGAGCTGAATATGCTTTTATATTCACATTGGTTCATTTATGAACAATGACAACTTGTGACACGTTCCATATATATCGTTTACCAAAATATTGCTACTCTGAATATTCGGTCAGAAATAGCATGTAAGTATGGCTTAGAAATTAGTGTAATAATGAGTATAATTCCTGCATCAACCACCTTTCGTCCTTCTCAATGATCTACTGAGCAAAAAAGTCATGCCAGAAAAGCTGTCCATATGGATGTAAGTAGCCATTTCCCAAAATAAATTCCAATTTTCCCCAAAGAAAATTTCCTTTCTTTAAGAATCCAGTAAATTCTCTCACATATAAGCACCAACTAGCAAAATACAAATATCAAACTGAAAAGAATTACCTTGAAGGAACTTTCTGTTTATTTTTTTTTATAAAAATTGGCCTTATTTCAAGTCCACTAGAGTTAATGTTTTATCCTAAGCTAAGCTAAGAGTGTTCTCACTAGACCTGGAGATCAACTAAATGGATTCAAAAATGGTAAAACTTAACGGTTTAACTCTTTAACTGGTTAACTGGACTGTTTAACTAAGTGTGTTGTAAAATGAGCATATTTCCAAAACAACAAAGTAGATTGTTCTTTTAAATTTCAAAAGCACTAGCACTGTGAATATTCACTTATGCCTCTTACAGCATGCACATAAACACCATTTGGCTAAAAGTAATAGCTATACTTCTCTTTTAGTTTGGTTTATTAAAGACATCAAATGTAAAATGAATTAATGTCCCTTCTGATATCAGGGAAAAAACTGGAAATTACTTCTGAAAGCAGAGAGACAGATGTAATTGTGGCAGAATGCATGTGCCTGGGCTGACGACGGTCACTATGGCAGTGGCGACAGGGTTCTGCCCACTGACTAGACGACCTTAACTGTGCAGCAACATATAAACACTAATTAAGACACAGAAAACAGAACCTACCGTTGACACACTCAAAAACATCGCAGCACCTCCCAGGTGTTCCATCACCGCGGGACACGACCTGAGGGGACATCCCCGCTGAGCACTGTGGGAAGGTGCAGAGGCCTGGCAAACACTCACATCTGATGGAGAGAGAGAGATGATAGTGGGGGGCCTGTCATTCTTAATTCAAAACAACAAAACACTCTCCTGACATGCTGATGTTATTAACTTTCAGTCCTGAAATAATCTAACATTCACACTTCGAGACACTTAGCAACTTGAGAGCCACTAAATACTGAAAAAATATGCATTTTGGACAATCGGTTTGGTTTAACCGGAATTATGATCATGAGATAAGTTGGATTTATATCTTAGGCTGTGAAAAAACATTACCTAAACCTAATATTTAACAGTATAAATCAGGAGATATAATTGGGAGAAAGGTGTGTTGAGTGTGAACAGGTGTAACTTCACTATCTGAATTGTGAGCATGATATAGATTTACTGTACGTCTAGACCAGTGGTTCTCAGGTTGCTTTCAAACTTGGTTCAATTGCCTGGACCGTACCCAAGTTCGATTGTCCCCCATCTTCTCGGCTAGTTTGTGTTCATCATCTTTTTTCCTTCTTAATCTCGATACGCTTGCGTCATTTAGCTGCTGTTTTGTTTACGGCTGTTGCTAGGTGACAGACACGAAAGCAAAGCACCAAAATGGAAAGACGTACGCACATCGCGGTCGTTCTGCTTTTACTGAATCTTTTGCTTTTGAACATACAGAAAGCGAGTCGTGTCTATCTGCCTCAAAAATATTAAAAACGCTCAGAACATCACGCAATGTCCGCAGAAGCTGTTAATGAAGCAGATATTATCACTGTGTTTGCCCTGGCTCAGTCCCGCTTGTCACCAAGGTGCAGTGCATGATACACACACACAAATGAACGTTATGAAAACAATAGTTTGTTGTACTGTTGACAGTTCACTTCCGTTTTTTGGTATGATTGCATTCACAGAAGTGAACAGGACCAGAGTTCACGTGAACAGTGCCCTAGACCACCTCTTTCAGGCAAACTTGCATAAGGTTCATGGGTACGCACCTGAATACAGAAGACACGTTCACACTGGCTAAACGTACAGTACTCTGATGTCGAATTAACCTGGGTATGGACCAAAAGTGCTAGTGTGAAAGCACCCTCAAAGTGACTATTAGGAGGTGCTTGATGATTTCCAAAAATCTAAATTAAACTAATAGAATTACCATATTTTATCCATAACTAACAACAGATTAAAAAAAAACAGTAGTTAACAGTTTACAAAACAACGTGTAAATAAAAAGCCATCAGCTTTTTTTGGAGATTAGAAATCTTTAAAATAAGATTAAGCATTTGCAGCATCAATTTTATGACACCATATTAACATTTTCAACACCTTTTTGGCATTTAAGTATATTACAAACAAACAAACAACCAACCAAACAAACAAACAAACACACAAAAATATATATAATTAAATAAATAAATACATTTAGATTATGATTGAACAAGGAGGTTAATCTCTGAGTGTCGGTCTCCAAAATTAAACCAAGAATGGACATGCTGGGTTCCAAACATTGTGCCCACTCACTTCTTTAGGTTTAAATGAATAAATTACTTTAACATTATCCGGCTGTTAGACTCTTAATAATTAATAATTGCTAACATTAGTATAGTGCTTTCCTGGACACTCAAAGTGCTTTTACACATTTTTGGGATGAATCTCCTCATCCACCACCAGTGTGCAGCATCCACCTGGATGACACGACGACAGCCATATTGCACCATACCACACATCATTCACCAGCTGATTGGTGGAGTGATGAAGCCGATTATAATATGGGGATGGTTAGTAGGCTATGATGGACAGAGGCCAGTGGGTGGGCCAGGATGCCAGGGTTGAACAGACCCCTACTCTTTTTCAAAGGACATCCTAGAATTTTTAATGACCACAGTCAAGACCTCAGTTTAACGTCTCATCCGAAAGATGACACGCACAGAGCAGTACAGAGTCCCCATCAATATATTGGGGTGGTTAGCTCCACATAGACCACAGGTTAAGCACCCCCTATAACTACCTCCACGTCGGTGTTGCGAGTCATTGTTATTTTAAGATTCGTGAGTTGAAAAGTTAAGTAAACCCTAGTGTAAACAAAACCATAACAAGTGTAAAATCCCTGGATTTTCTACATGGAATGTTCATTTTTAAAACAAAAGTCCTCGGAATTTGAAAGTGAGAGAGATGTATTATCTAACTTGAATTGTGAGTGTGAAAATTATGAAACAGTCTAACTGAGACTGTCAAAGTAGACAGGTGTAACAGTATAGACTGTATTGTGTCTTGTATACATTCAAGCTAAATAATGAAAGTGAAACAGACAAAACAGTCTAACTGGGATGTTAAGCAGGAGACATGTAACATTTAATGAAGCTTTTGAATATGACACAAGTGTAACTGTCTACTGGGATTGTGAGAGTGAGACATGTGTAACGGCTAAACTGGATTGTAAGTTTAAACTTGATGAAGCAATCTGGCTGGGATTGTTAAGAGTGAGTCAAGTGTGACATTTAATTAAGGCTGTGAGTTTCATGCGGGTGTAATGTTCTTACTTGGATTATGAAAGAGATACAGATGTAACGTATCATAACTATAATTGTATGAAAGAGACAGTCGTATCATTTGTTTTGCTTCGTGTGCACCAAAAATGTTTTACAATGTAACCGAAAATATAACAACCCTTGTGTTAAAGGCTCACTTAAACAATGAAAGTTCTGCCACCATTTACTCATTATTTACTAATGTCGAACATTTGTGTGTTTCTTTCTTCTGTTTTATCCAAAATAAAAGAAGATATTTTGAAGTGAACAAGAAGCATTGACGTCCTAAGTATTTATTTTTTCTGCTATGAATGTCAATGGGTACAGCTTTCTTCAAAATAGTTTCTTTTTTGTGTTGGACAGAAGAAAGAAACAGGTTTGGAGCCACTTGAGGATGAGTAATTAGTGAGTACACTTTCATTTTTGGCTGAACAATACTTTTAACATAACTTGATGTAATGTAAATGGAGCTCAAGACATGCATAAAAGTGTAACCCCGAAGGTGTGTGGTGAGCTGCTGTAACATCTAACCTGGTAGGAAGGGTGCAACAGCCATCTGCCGTCAGTCTGACCTGAGTCTCATAGCTGTCAGCCGGACACTGCACAGGCTTCACCGGAGGACACTCTACAGTGCTGCAGTCCACACTGAACACTGAAAAAACAAGAGATAAAACATTTATCACTCCTCATCAAAGCCAACAGTTAACACACATCATCAAACCCACATCCAAGCAAATGATTTCCCTGTTATTTCACACACCATAGGCTTTAACATACACTGTTGAGTACACCCATTATATAATAATGTAGGTTTTTATACAGTCACACTCACATTTTGGTGGTGTATAAGCACTCTGCATTGGCATAGTTTTTATACACCTAAAATTGCTTATTATTAGCCTTACCAAGGGCTTCATTTGTGCAGGAACACGACGGATCCGGCACCTCTGAAATCTGATCTGGCACCTGATTTTACCGATCCCCCTCCTCAACCGCCCTCCTCCCCCGTCCGTTGTTCACTTTCACTTTCTTCCGCGACATCCCAACCCTCTTCACTCTCGTCCTCGACAACCCCCTGCTCTTCACTTTTGTCCTTCGTCCGCGACACCCCTCCGCCATCCAACGACCCCCGCTCATAACTTTCGTGCGCAACACCTTTCCATCCTCAAGCAACATACTGGATCCTTTAACCCGATCTGTTCCGGGACCTCCCAATTCACAAATTAAGCTCTGGCCTTACCCTAAACCCAGCCCTAAACCCAACGCTCATAGGAAAGCTATAGCAAATTTTGAATGTGAAAAGACACTGGGTGTAAGGCCTGGTTTATACTCCACGTGCGCACAGTGAATGTGAAGTTATTGCTGTGTTTGTGGAGGTTTGCTTTGGGTGCACGCGACATGATTTTGGCTGGAAGAGTGCACAAACTTTGGTGAGACTCGAGCGAACAGTTCACATGGCGCCACCTTTGATTTGAGTTGAATATGAATTACTTTAAAGAGATTTTGTCTGAAACAAATAGGCCTGTATGGACACCTTTATGATCCGTCCATACGTGTTAATAGGGAGAATCTGATTGACAATAATTCTTGGCTAGAAATTGCAACAGTGGGAAAGGAGGAAAGGTTTTGTTAAAAAGTTTGTGAGAAACTTGAGGGATAAGTTTGTTAAAGCCAAAAGAGACCATGGCAATATGTTAGAAATATGTTTTTCCACCATTTATATGTTTAACACTGATGTACAGGTATATAAACTGTATATTACCATTTTGAATTTAAAACAATTAATTAGTTACAAAACTATAATTAAGGAGGAAATTATTTCTTTGATAACTGGAAAAGAATATTTGACCCTATAGGTTTATAATATACTGATGCCCTGTTTTTTAGGCTTTATTGGTGATAATGGTCAGGAATGTTGGACCATTAATGCCTTTTTAGCATAAGAAGAGGACAGAAACAGTAATATGTAAATTGTGGGATGGACTAAATCTAAAAAAACATTTTAGCTTTTAAGTAATGTTTTTTAGTTCTGTAATTTGTAGTAAGTGTACTTTTTCGCTTGCCATTAAAATAAAAAATAAATAAAATAAAATTATATATATACATCTCTGGGAATCATCCACTCACCCAATTCACCTGTAGTGCATGTCTTTGGACTGTGGGGCAAACCGGAGCACCCGGAGGAAACTCACACGAACGCGGGAGAACATGCAAACTCCACACAGAAATTCCAACTGACCCAGCCGTGGCTTGAACCAGCGGCCTTCTTGCTGTAAGGCGACAGCACTACCTACTGCGCCACCACGTTGCTCGCAAAAAAACATTACGCACACATATTTACACAGCTTTACATAGACTGTTGAAATTTTACATTTTTAACCAAACTGGTTGATTTATTAAATAAATAATCCAATAAAGGTTAAAAATATCCTAACAAACCACCAAATAATTTTTAACTCAACCATGGCCTAAATAAATAACTCAACGTCTTTTAGAGTGTATCATTAATAAATATTTTAACAAATATTTAATTGGATTTTTACCTGTGATACTTATTTCAACAAACAATAGATTTTTCAACAAACCTGTTTTGGATATATCGCTGTTAATTTTGCTGAACAGAATCATGTTTGCATATATATATATATATATATATATATATATATATATATATATATATATATATATATATATATATTTGTAAAGCAACCCATGTTCTCTCATCATTAGAATTTTAATAAACTTTAGTAGGTAGAACTGTCCGAGATATGAACAAAAGCAAGTGATGCATCAAAGATTCATAAAAAAAATCTTCAATGGTTATAAAAATCCATAAAATCATTCAAATAATTCATAAAAATATTACAAATAGTTAGTTTAAAAATCTTCAATGATATTAATGATATGGCATAGTTCCGGAAACTTTCTACTTTTCTGTTTATCCATCTGATTTTCCGATCAGTTTCTATTCACCATCCCCTGTCATTTTAATGTCACTACGGTGAATGCGTCACATATAAAAGCCGCGTTCATTTAGTGAGGTGCGCGTGCAGTCAGTGGAGGTCTGCGATGTGGTGCCATGCGAAAGTATAAATCAGCCTTAACAACAGTTTGCGGCCGTGCCGCCAGGAGTCACAAAGGAACGGGATGTGAATGGACAGAAATATACAGTATCTATAAAAGAAACTGAAACAATAAATCATAACACTATAATTCCTTCATTAATTATTAAAAATTTGTTAACAAGCTGTATTATCATTATAAACTTGTATTGTGCAAAATGAGGATTCCTTTTGGAAAGTAAAATTAAAGAAATAAAGGACAACTAAAGGTAAAGTACTAACATACATACATACATACATACATACATACATACATACATACATACATACATACATACATACATAAATACATAGATACATAGATACATACATACATACATACATACAACACACATACATACATACATACATACATACATACATACATACATACATACATACATACATACACAAATAAATAAACAAATACATAAATAAATAAAGCAGTGTATTAGGACTAAGACAGTCCATAAATAATTTTTTTCATTTACAGTTTTTGTTTACATTTACGTTGTTGAATATATTTTAATTTCTCATTTATGTCTTAATTATTGTACATAAATAATAAACAAATAATTAAATATACCACAATAATATCCATGTCATTACATATATTTGGCCTTGTAAACCACCAAAACCAGTGCACACAACCACACAGACAGTTCCCCTTCGGTTGGGGAACTTCAGTGCCATGAATGGGAGGATTCGGATCAGAAGCCGCTTATCTGGAGAGTATTGAACGGGCCAATGAATGAAATTAATTGGCAGCGTAAGCTTGCGCAGGTGTGCGACATCTGCAATTATCTCAGCATATAAGCACACCTGAAGCCAGCAGACGCCATCCTTTTCGCTTCAGATCCTTTCTGAGTGAGTCGATGAGGGTTCCTCTTGCTGATCAGCACTTCAGAGCGAACGAGTGTGTCTCCCGGTCCAGAGTGGGTCTTCGCGGTGGCAGACGGTCGAGCTGGGTTACTCCCTTGCCTGCGGTTCTTTGGGTCCGGTCCTCCAGAGCGGTGCGTATAGTTGCAACTTTCCTAAAAGAGCAACACAGTCGTGCAGCACGTCCTTTTCAGGATGGCGCTCCGACTGTGCGTTTCTGGATGCGGGGGTTTCCTGTCTCCGGATGATGGACACGATCACTGCATTGCATGTTTGGGGGTCCAGCATGTTAATGCGGTGCTCGCGGGCGGTTCATGTCGTCATTGCGATGCCATGACCGTTGCACAGCTAAGATCGCGGCTAACTTTCGCAAGAGAGCGAGCCACCCCAGTTGCCTCCTGCTCTAAAAAAGCAGCGGGCGCTCGGGCAGATCTGAGGGTTTCAGCGGGAGCTAATCCGCCGCCCACGGGCTCGCGGACCTCTCGCTCCTCACGGCGCTCCATCCAAGCTTCGGGTGGTGAGAGTGATCCGTCTAACCAGATGGTAGCTCTCACACTCGCTGACACCGGAGATCAGATGTCCTCCGCGGCATCGGAGGGTGGGCTTTCACTGTCCGACGAAGATCCGGACCCGCTCGCCCCCTCCGGGCAGGTGAGCGCTGTCAAATCGGATCCTGAAGCGGACATGTTAGCCGTGCTTTCCCGGGCTGCTTCGGCCGTGGGGTTGGAGATGGTTTATCCCCCAGCTCCGCGGCCGGACCGACTAGATGGGTGCTACGTAGAGGACCAGAAGGCGAAGCCTTCGAAGCCTCTCGTCCCCTTCTTCCCGGAAGTGCACAGTAGGCTCACGCAGTCCTGGAGGGCACCTTTCTCTGCCCGTGCTGCGAGTGCCTCCGCCCTCACCGCCCTTGACGGCGGAGCTGCCAGGGGGTATGAGGCGATCCCGTCAGTGGAGCGCGCTATCGCGGTCAATCTTTGTCCGCGCGGCGCCTCTACGTGGCGGGGTTTGCCCCGCCTCCCGTCCAAAGCCTGTAGGTTGTCTGCCTCCCTCGGAGCCAGAGCTTATAAGGCTGCGGGCCAGGCTGCTTCTGCTTTGCACGCGATGGCCACCTACCAGCGCTACCAAGCGCAGGCGCTGGCCGAGCTGCACGAGGGCGGGTCCAACCCAAGCTTATTACATGAGCTGCGCACCGCGACCGACTATGCTCTTCGGACTACTAAGTCCGCCGCGTGTGCGCTGGGGAGGACGATGTCCACACTTGTGGTTCAGGAACGCCACCTCTGGCTAAACCTGGCCGATATGCGCGACGTTGACAAAGTTCGCTTTCTTGACTCGCCCATATCCCAGGCTGGCCTGTTCGGCGACACCGTCGGTGAATTCACCCAGGAATTCAAGGCGGTGAAAGAGCAGTCGGATGCGATGGGCAATGTCATCTATCGGCGTGGCCGTAAGCCCGCTCCGCCCGCCGAGCCATCCACCTCCGCTGTTCCTCGCCGAGGGCGCCCGCCAACGAGTGCTGCCCCGCCCCCGCCTGCGCCTCCGGCCAAGCGGGCGCGGCGTTCACCTCGAAAGCAGGCAGCCCCTCCTGCCCAGGGCGCCGTTAAGTCCGGTAAACGGACCGCGAAGCGTCCCTGAGACAGGCCATCCGGAGAAGAGGAAACTTGCTCTTTCC